CATTTCTCAGGTTAAACAAACAAGGTGACAGCAGACAGCCCTGTCATACTCCTTTCTCAATCCTGAACCAATCAGTTGTTCCATACAGGGTTCTAACTGTTGCTTTTTGACTTGCGTACAGATTTCTCACGATACAGTGAGATGGTCTGGTATACCCGTCGCTCTAAGATCTTTCCACAGTTTGTCATGATTCATAGAGCCAAAGGCTTTAGCATAGTTGTTGAAACAGAGATAGATGTTTTTCTGAAATTCCCTTGCTTTCTCTGTAATCCAGTGAATGTTGGCAATTTGGTTTCTAGTTCTTCTTCCTTTTCTAAACGCAGCTTGGACATTTGGAAGTTCTTGGTTCGCATAATGCTGAAGCCTAGCATGCAAGATTTTAAGCATGATCTTACTAGTATGGGAGATAAATGCAATTGTCTGATGGTTGGCACATTCTTTGGTATTGCCCTTCTTGGGAATTGGGGTGAGGATTGACCTTTTCCAGTCCAGTGGCCACTGCTGGGTCTTCCAGATTTGCTGACATAATGCAAAACATTGATGGCATCCTCCATTGAAGTGAAGTCACTCAGTCGTGTCCAACCCTTTGCGGCCCCATGGACTGTATGTAGCCTACCAGGCTCCTCCATCCATGGGATTTTCCATGGAAAATGGAAAAGTGGAGTGGGTTGCCATTTCCTTCTCCAGGTGGTCTCCTGCATTGTAGGCAGACACTTTACCATCTGAGCCATCAGGGAAGTCCTGTCCTCCTCTCGGGATCTGGATAGTTCTGTGGAGTTTCATCACATTCACCAGCTTTATTAACAGCAGTGCTTCTTAAGGCCCACTTGACTTCACACTCCAGGATGTCTAGCTCTGGGTGACTCACCACACCATCGTAGTAATCCAGTTCATTAAGATCTTTTTTATACAGTTCTTCTGTGTATTTTTTCCATCTCTTCTTGACCTCTTCAGTGTCCACCAGGTGCCTACCATTTTTATCCTTTATTGTGCCCATCTTTGGGCAGAATGCTCCCTTGATGTTTCCAGTTTTCCTAAAGAGATCTCTAGCCTTATCTCGTTTGTTGTTTTCCTCCATTATTAAACACTGTTCATTGAAGAAGGCCTTCTTGTCTCTCTGACTGTTCTTTGATTGGTGCTTTTAATTGGATGTACCTTTCCCTCTCTCATTTTTCCCTTCTCTTTGTTCTCCTGCTATTTGTAAAGCCTCCTCAACTAACTGCTTTGCCTTCTTGCTTTTCTTTCTCTTTGGGATGGCTTTGTTCGCCACCCCCTGTACAGTACTATGGACCTCTGTCCATAGTTCTTCAGACACTCTGTCATATAGATCTAATCCTTTGAATATACTTGTTACCTCTACTGTGAATTCATACAGGATTTAAGTCATACCTGCTGGCTTAGTGTTTTTCCCAGTTTTCTTTAGTTTAAACCTAAATTTTGCTATCATGATCTAAGCCACAGTCAGCTCCAGGGCTTGTTTTTGCTGACTATATACAGCTTCTCCATCTTTGACTACAAAGAATGGAATCAGTTTGATTTCGGTATTGACCATTTGGTGATGTCCATGTGTAAAGTTGTCTCTTGTGTTGTTGAAACAGAGTATTTGCTATGACTAATGCAGAATTCAGTTAGCCTTTGTTTGCCCCTCTTTATTTTTTGTTCTCTAAGGCCAAACTTGCCTATTACTCCAGGTATATCTTGACTTCCTACTTTTGCATTCCAATTCCCATTGACGCATAGAATATCTTTTTTAGGTGTTAGTTCTAGGAGGTCTTCTAGGTCTTCATGGAACTGATCAGTTTCAGCTTCTTCGGCATCAGTGGAATGAGCATAGACTTGAATTACTGTGAGGTTGAATGGCTTGCCTTGGAAACGAACCGAGATCATTCTATCATTTTTGAGGTTGCACCCAAGTACTACATTTCAGACTCGTTTGTTGATTATGAGGGTTACTCTGATTCTTCTATGGGATTCTTGCCCATGGTAGTAAATATAATGGTCATCTGAATTAAATTCGTCCATTCCCGTCCATTTTAGTTTACTGATTTCTAGGACGTCGTTGTTTATTCTTACCATCTCCTGCTTGATCACTCACAACTCACCTTAATTCATGGACCTAATATTCCAGGTCCCTATGCAGTACTGTTCTTTGCAGCACCGGGTTTTATTTTCGTCAACCAGACACATCCACAACTGAGCATTGTATCCACTTTAGCTCAGCCACTTTATTCATTCTATTAGTATTTCTCCTCCACTCTTCCCCAGTAGCATATTGGACACCTTAGACCTGGGGACTCATCTTTTGGTGTCATATCTTTTTGACCTTTTTAAATAGTTCATGAAGGTTCTCATGGCAGGTATACTGGGGTGGTTTGCCAGTCCCTTCTCCAGTGGATCACATTTTGTCAGAACTCTCTGCTATGATGTGTCTGTCTTGGGTGGCCCTGCATGGCATAGCTCATAGCTTCATTGAGTTATGCAAGCCCCTTCGCCACGACAAGGCAGTGATCCATGAAAGGGATTAAATATCTGAAACCTTAAATTCTTACTGAGAACACTTTGCTCAAGTGTCTCATTTTCATTGAAATTCATTTTAACACATTTGGATACTGGATTGTATTAACTGGATCTTACCTAAGTATCTTCACACACAGTGAAACAACCCAAGAACTATGAAAGAACTAAGGTGGAAAGTTAGGAGCAACTTGTTCATGAGATGGTAGTGAAAGATATTTTTGGAAAGATGCTGACATTTTAACTTTGAGTTAATATTTGATGACTGAAGTGAAATTTTAGTTGAAATAATTTAAAATAGTTTAAACTTTCTAAAAGTCTTATTCCTTTTCCTTCCACAGACTGGAAGTCATCAGTGTACTTGTCCATTAATTTCTTGTACTTCTCAGAATTTCTCTCACTATTCATATGTAAGAACTCCAAGTGATACTTCAGTTTGCACAGAGAAGATGCATGAATGCCAGTAAATATATACAGGCTCATTGAATTGTGTTCCCTTCAGAATTATAACCTATACTATGGAAACGTATTTCCTACTGTTGGTCCTTTGACATTTTAAACATAATTTAAACATATTTTAGTTGAAGTATTATCTAAAACATTAAATATTAATTTTAAGGTAAAAAAGTCAAAGCCTTGTGGAGATAGGGAACTTTGTTTATTGCTATGTATCAAACATCTATAAGCATATGCAGCCTGTTATAGGAGCACAAGTGATGCTCAGTCAGTGAGGTCATGTGAAAGCATTTCCAAGGAAAAGTTTTTTTTAAATGAATGTGAGTATTTTCATCTTGGTTGAGAGACTCATGTTCCTTCTGCTTTCCTTGCAAAATCTCTGTGCCTTCACTTACTAATGTTTTGTCATCTTAAGATTGTTTGGGCTTCCCTGGTGGCTCAGCTGGTAAAGGATCTGCCTGTAGTGTGGGAGACCTGGGTTGGATCCCTGGGTTGGGAAATTTTCTTAAGAAGAGAAAGGCTACCCACCCCAGTATTCTGACCTGGAGAATTCCATGGACTGTATAGTCCATGGGGCCACAAAGAGTCGAACACGACTGAGGGACTTTCACTTTCAAGATTGTTTAGCCAGAAACTGGAAGGTAGACAGAAGCGTTGGGTTTTTGCTGAGAACTTTTCCGAGTAGTTCGGTATTATATATCTTCTGCTTGTCTTTTCCTCACTTCCTTGTCTAATGTGATCAAGACCACCAAATGACTTAAAATGTTTGAATGAAGATATTTATCAAATGCTAATGTTTATTGAGCATGTAGAATTTATAATATATGGGAACATGAACTGTATTTAAAAATATTTTTTTCCTTATGAAAAGAAAGAATTCTCCTCTTATGGAAATAGTTCCAGAAAAACTTTGGCCTTGCATTTAGGTCACCATACTCTGTAATTTTTGCTGTAATTTACACACACACACACACACACACACACACACACACACACATATGGTAAGTATGTGAGTATCTTGGTTTAACAGTTTCTTTTAGTTCAGTACTGTAGTTTATTGCCTGGGTACCAAAGCTACCTAATTCTCCTTTCCTACAATATTAGAAATGTACAGACATCATTAGCCATTATGGGAATACAGATCAATGAGATACACACTTCACACCCACTAGAGTGACTAAAATGAATAGACAGATAGCAGGTATTGGCTATCAAAAAAGTTGGAATCCTTGCACGTTGCTGATGTGCAAGGTGTGTAAAATGATGCAGCCATAGTATAAAACAGTTTGGCAGTTTATTGAAAGACTAGAGTTACAGTATGACCCAACAATTGCACTACTAAGAAAAATAAAGGCATGTCTGCATAGAAACTTGTACATGAATGTTTATAGAAATATATTTATAGTAGCCATAAAATGGAAAGAACTCAAATGTTCATCATTGAATGACTAAACAAAATGTGGTATTTTCAGTGGAAAATTATTTGGCATTTAAAAGAAATGAGGTATTGCTACATGCTACACATGGATGAACCTTGAAAGTATTGGGCCAGGTACAAAAGACCACTCTGTATCATTCCACTTACATAAAATGTCCAAACCCAGGAAGGTAGATTAGTGGTTGCTTAGGGCTAGAGGAGTTGGAAGGAGACAGGGAGTGACTGCTAATGGGTGCAGTATTTTTTTTTTTGAGTGATGAATGTGTTCTAAATTAGATAGTGATGACTGTTGCACATCTAAAAACCATTCTATTGTATGCTTAAAAGGGTGAATTGGAAAAAAAAAGGGTGAATTGTGTGACATGTAAATTACATCTCACCCAAGTTGTTATTTTAATAAGTATATGTTTAAATGCATTTGCTTCTATGAGCATAAATTATCTCCAGAATGATATACACTGGTTGCTTATGGGAAGGAGCTGGGTTCCTATCGGGCCCGAGTTCCTGTTGTGCCTTGTAATGACTGTAACTATTTTATAAATAAATGTTGAATAATAAAAGTATTAACTCCTTTCTGATTTTATGTGATCAGGTCCTTCAGGGGTTAGATTATCTCCACAGTAAGTGCAAGATCATTCATACTGACATAAAGCCGGAAAACATCTTGATGTGTGTGGACGATGCGTATGTGAGAAGAATGGCAGCAGAGGCCACTGAGTGGCAGAAGGCAGGCGCTCCCCCTCCTTCCGGGTCTGCAGGTGAGAGACTGGGCCAGCTTTGCGTCGGTCTGTGTAGGGCACTGAGAGCCTGCAAAGCTGTTCATAGGAAGCAACTGAGTTAAATGTGCACATGTTAGGAACTTGCATAAGAGCCCGATGACTGGAAATAAGTAGACCCTTTTCTTGAGAAGGAAAATGCCCCAATTAAGTTGTACTTTAATATTTGAATTACTTAGCTTTGTCCTCCCTTAAAAGGTCACTGAATTCTTCTTACCTGCTGCTTCATTTCCATTTGAACATTGTCTGCGTTGGCCACTTCTCTGCAGAGGAGTGTATAGTAACAGGTTTCCTTTAGCCGACCTACAATCATCAGAATGCTTCCTTGTCTCCATTGAGCATAGTTATATCACTCTGAGTGTGACTGGTGGACTTAAAATTAGTTACAAGAACTTCACGGTGAAAGAAGATCAACTGACTTGAGCATTGGTGTATGAAGTTTTATTTCTGGTTTTCACAAGGTGTCAAGATGGCTGTGAAGTGTGGATGATGCTTTCACCCTCTCTTCACATGCTCTCTGCCCTAGTGTGTTGTCAGGTATGCACAGGGACTACAGAGTGAAGCCCTCTAACTGAGGCTGTTGGCAGACGAACCATTTATGAGTCTTGTTTTCTACCATCAGATTGCTGTTTAGATCACGGAACCATAGTCTGTTAAGCTTTTGACATTGGCCAAGTCTGTTCATGTCATTTCTAGACTATTTGCAGTAGTGTTGGATTTATTTTAGTTGTGTAAACTTGTGAAATAGTTTTCAAACATAGATGTGTAAATTAATTGTTCTGAAATCATTTCATTGTCTGTAAACAAGTTGGGTTGTGTGACTCTTCTCCATTTTCTTATCAGTCAGTGTTTTGTGATTGTGTGCTTTTGAAATGAATGAGTGTTTAATTTCAGATTAATAAGAGAAATGACTCCATGTGAACCACTATGGCTTTGCTTTTTAAGAGCCAATCATTTGTTTGAGTTGGATAAACTTTCTTTAGGGCTCTTTGATTAACAAGTTTTAATATTTAACAGTTGTTGAAGTTGCATAGCCATTGAAAGGCAGTAGTTATTTCATTTTACAGTTCAGATTACCTACAAAAAGGTAAGTATCTGTTTCACTCTAAATGTTCACTTTGTTTTGTTTTGTTTTGTTTTTAGTGAGTACTGCTCCGCAGCAAAAACCTGTAAGTACTTACACATATACTTATATTACCTCCTTGTCAAAAGTGACTAGTCATTATTGAACTTTTCTAATTGTAGCATTAGTTTTTGTTTCTTTCTGCAACAGCTTTTCTTTAAGGGTTGTTTGAGGGAATTAGTTTTACTTTTTGTTGTTGTTGTTCCTTTCTCAGTCACAGATGTTGTCATGCATTTTAGTGTAAAAGACAGCCGTGTTTATAAATGCCGTGTATCCTTGAATATGCAAGACAATGTTTTGAAAAAGTGAAGTGATTTTTAGAAGTGGGGTAATTGGAACTGTCCCAAAGTCTGTGTTTTCCTCGTGCGCTTTCTGGAGTGCTGTTGGCTGAGTCTGATAAAATGTGAGGTTATAGAGATAGGGTTTTAAGTGTGATTATTCCACAAACCCTTTTGATTATTTCTGATTTGCCTCTAAGCTACCTGTTTTTTCTGAAGCTGCTGTTCTAATTTTCTTCCAGCTAGTATAGTTAAATGTGAAAGAGCGTTATCTGTGTGGTCCTATCAAAATACCAAGTGTGAGCAAATGAAACAGGCTGTTTGGAATTAAATTCTACCCCAGAGGACCTAAACCTGGTTTAGGCTTGGTTCCAGTCAAGCATAGAATATATGTATATCTCAAGTTGATGAGTCACCTGCAAGTTTAAAGATCTTTATGACCGGAAAGCCCTTGGAAGGAAATGTGCAGAACTCCAGAGTGCAGCCAGCAACCCTCAGTCTGGAGTGGGAGTCCCAGCAGGAGGGGGAGCTGTAAGAATTCTCCCACCTGGCCTGCTGAGCTCTGCCATGGCTTGAGCAGCTTGCTTTGATTATTGGTTCTGTGAAAGACTGGAGGATCCCGTTGCCAGTACTTTCCAAGTCAGATGGCCATGACTGGAGACAGACTGAAACCATGGCTTTCTCTTTTTTTCCCTTTACTTCATATGCTCATTTCTTACAGTTCCTGCTGTCCTGGCTGTTGCTAACAACTTAGTGTGAGAGACCCAAGCACAAACAGCGCTGTTGACCAAACATGAATGAAGAACACCTGTTTTGGCAGACAGTTGAGTAAGAGAGTAAAGAGAGGGAACATTGTTAATACTTTGTAGACAGGCAGCAGCAAATGAAACTTGCAAGAGAGCTTCTTGTCTAAAGGCAGGAATGTCTCGGCATATTTAGTTCTTAGAATTTAAAGGGAAAAGGCTTGCTGGATTTAAGCTGTAGCTCTCCATGGGCAGGAGCTGATAGTAGTTCCGCTACTTGATATCAGCACTGGTTTCTTTTTTTTCTGGCTTTGCTGCAACGCTAACCATATTGTGGATCTCATGTCTGGGCATGTGATTTTAATTGAATAGACCTGAGAAAACAGACTGTGTTGGTATTTGCCATGCTGCCAGCACTTAGACGCTGCTGCATAGTGCTTTAAAAAGAAGCAAACTGACCTGTGCTATTTTCTTAACATGTTGTAGATAGGAAAAATATCTAAAAACAAAAAGAAAAAAATGAAAAAGAAGCAGAAAAGGCAGGCTGAGTTACTGGAAAAGCGCTTGCAGGAAATAGAAGAATTGGAGCGAGAAGCTGAAAGAAAAATAATAGAGGAAAACATCACATCAGTTATACCTTCCAATGAGCAAGATGATGAATACCACCCAGAGGTGAAGCTAAAAACAGCAGGACTGGAGGAGGTGGCTGAGGGAGAGACTGCGAATAACAATGGTCAGTGAACGCTGGAGAGCGGGCTGCACCCCAGGGCATCACACAGGGTGACCTGGTGCTGCTGTGTTCAGACCTGAGGGTCTGAACCCTCCCTTCCAAGCCCTCCCTGGAGAATGTGGGAGCTGTCTGATACTTGCTTTGTAAAATATGCATCAGAAATATGTTTCAAAATAGTTTTTGTTTTTTAATGGAAAATGTCTGAGAAGCACCATATCTTTGTCATGTTAATGATTGTCCTTCATTTTGTAATTAAGCTTTGATTTAACAGTAATGTACCCTTAGACAATCTCTGAAGATTATAGAGGAGAGGGTAGAAAATGGAAGTACAGCTCTATTTATGCTCATTTTCTCTAAGAGCTAACTTTTTCTAATAAGAGTAGGCTAGTTATTTAGTAAATGAAAAATAAGATTTAGAGAACCTGGAGATTTACCCCAAGAGCCCAGAGGTGTTTGCTGTGTAGCAAATGAAATTAGCACATTCAAACATGTCTCTTGTTGGAGAGGATAAATGCCTGGTGCACTCTGTTAAGGAGAGTGACAAGTTCTGATTCTCACCCTTCCACTTCTTAAGGTGAAGCTGAAGACCAGGAGGAGAAAGAAGACACTGAGAAAGAAAACACTGAGAAAGATGAAGACGATGTTGAACAGGAGCTTGCGAACATAGATCCTACCTGGATAGAATCACCGAAAACTAATGGCCATATTGAGAACGGCCCCTTCTTACTGGAGCAACAGCTGGATGATGAAGATGACGATGAGGAAGATTGCCCAAATCCCGAGGAATGTAACCTCGATGAGCCAAATGCAGAAAGCGATTACACGTATAGCAGCTCCTATGAACAATTCAATGGTGAATTGCCAAATGGACGACATAAAATTCCCGAGTCACAGTTTCCAGAATTTTCCACATCATTGTTCTCTGGGCCCTTAGAACCTGTGGCTTGTGGCTCTGCACTTTCTGAGGGATCCCCCCTTACTGAGCATGAGGAGAGCAGTCCATCCCATGACAGAAGCAGGACAGTTTCAGCCTCCAGCACTGGGGATTTGCCAAAAAGTAAGTGTTCCTTCCCATGAGCTCTGCTTTCAGTCCCTTGAGTGTCATGCCCTTGACAGATACTGGGAAGGGGATTGCCTGGAGGAGGTATAGCCATGTATGTATGCAGTAAGCACTTTTATTTTATTACTTTTGTAACCATGAGTAAGTTAGTATACTTTAAAAAAATATTCTGGGCCATGAGGATTTCTGTTGCCCTCTGCATATCAGATCCCATTTCTGAGGTTTTTTTTTCCTTCTTCTGTCTTAGTGATGATACCTTTGCAAAAGTTTTCCAAGTCTGGCATTTTACCCTGTAGTTTTCTATAGTGTACTTCCATCTGATAATGCGATGTTTAGTTTTTAGGTTTTTTGTTTTGCTTCATTTCTAGTCGAGGGAAGATGTGCCTGCTCTCTATCTGTATTGAGGAAAAAGTATCTATTTTGATAGCTGTTCTTGATTACACCACTCTCCTGTTAAAATTTTAAAGGAAATGATGTAGGTTTAAATGTAGTGATGATGTATATCAAACCCTGATTTTGAGGGTGGATGCTACAAGACTTATCTCTGCCTGTAGTGTGCTGGGGGACTTCAGAAGGTACACACTGTGTCCCAGTTGGTTTGCACTCTGGCCCACAGTGGAAAAGCTCAGAAACCTCCTCTGCTCCCTCTGCTGACAAGAATGTTAACACATGGCGAGTCCACTGATGAGCCAGCCCTGCAAATAGCTCAGGATGTTCTGCAGCCCCAGAGACCCGCAGAGTCCTCTGTTACTCACTGGCCACAGCTAGTCATCCTAAGGATGTGGTTTTTCTTGTAACTTGGATAGATGTATTCTCCTCCTGTCAACCTTTACTCTGACCAGAAGGTTTGAAAGTGCTTGAAATGCTTTCACAAGCAAGTGGCTTCATCTAAGGAAAACCTCACCTCTTACCCTCCTTGACTCTCATTCTCTTCCCGTCCCACTGCTGACGCTTTGGCACCACGTGTTTGGGGGGGCTTTCCTGCACTGAATAGCTCTCCAGCGCCAGCCCAGTGTCTCGCAGTTTAAGTAACGTTTGACGCTGCCTGGAGATAGTGTCATGTGCCAGGGTCTAGGGCTCAGTTTCATCAGACTGTTTCGTTTCCCCACCCCCAACCCGTCACAAGTCCAAGTTGTCATCTCTGCTTCTGATAAGTTCTAAACTGGAGGTTTCTGTGATGCTGTCCTGGGGTTCAATTAATTTGTTAGAGCAGCTCACAGAACTCAGGAAAACAGCCAGCTAGCTGGCTAATCCAGCTAGCTGGCTAATCAGTTGATGAAGAAAGGATGTAAGTCAACAACAGCCGGATGAAAGGGATGCACAGGGCATGGTGTCTGGGAAAGGTGCAAAGCTTTCATGCTCTTTCCTGAATCACCCCCTCCCTGATGTATCTCCCATATTCCTCTGTGGTACGGACTCACCGATTCTTTTTTCTTTTCAATTAACACATCCAATTGTGTGTTGTTATCATTTACAGCTTTTTTTTAAAATGCCAGAATTACCCCAAATTTGCCCTTTGTCAGCCTCTTCAAGTTGGTTCTTAGGTCCTTTTGACACAGCCTCATTATTCTCCAGGTACCTGCTCGCTCTTCTAGAACCATGTGTCCCAAGTTCATACTTGGGACAGGACCCAGGCTGGATTCAGCCTTGTTGCTGAGTAGTTTTTGCTTTTAAGATCTTGTCAGTGTTTTATAATGTATAGGAACAGTAGTATGTAAACTTTATAAACACGCATATATTGAAATGAATGTTCAAACATCTTTTATTGATGGAGTGAACAGTATAAAAAGGTTTAGTAATCTCAAGTGTAGTGTGGTCTCGTCCCCATTTATTTTTAAGACCTAATATCGAGTGTCTGTGTGAACGTGGCATGCTTGCTGATGCTTCTGTATCCTTGCTGATGCTTTTCCTCCTCCTTGGAAGGCTTCCTCCTGTTTGTGTGGGCACACTTCTTTTGTCGGGTCCTGGCAGATCCCAGTTCTTGTTCCCTTCTTTTTCCTTTGGTCATACTTCACTGTGTGATCCTTGTTCACTTCCACTGTCTTCCTCGTCACTGGGGTGTTCACATTGAGAGTGCTTTGTGTTTCTGCCTTTGTGCCCTCAGCATCTAACTTGGTGCCGAGACAAGCACTTATTGCATAATGAACCAACAAATGAGTGATACCTGCCTGTATTCTCCCACCTTTTCCCATTCACAGCAGAATTTTACTTTGTCCAACACACACGCCTTCTTCAGGACCCTGTCTGTGGCATGAATATTGCATCAGGGAGAAAGAGCAGGTCTGGTTTTTCCACTGATGCCAATCTCTTACCAAGCTGACTTTTTTGTTCATCCAGTCATTTGTTTGGAGGCACTCAGTTTGGGTTTTCAAAGCCTGGTCCTTGGAGAACTATGGACAGCCTCTGCGTGGAGGTACTTTGTTTCCTGTTGGCAGGGTCCTGTCCTGGAGGTTGGCAGTTGGCCCCCGGGCACTAGAGAACGGGAAGTGGGAGAGGTACCCGTTACTCAGAGTGTGTGGATCCTTGTCATTGCAGCAGAGGGCGTATATCAGGAAATAGTAGAAGAAATGCCAGGGCTGGAATGAGAAGATTGAGGATCACCTTACATGCCAGGCTTAAGAATGCAAACTTCTCCCTGGAGTAATTGTATAGCAACTGAAGGTTGGGAAGAGGAGGTAGCGTTCTTCTTGGATTATTAGCTGCTGGAGCCATACCACATATTTTGGCTTAGCATATCTGAAGGACAGAGGCCTGGGAGCAGGGTGGCACCTGCAATGCACATGTTGGCCTGTCACCCTCACCTTGTAGTGACCGTGTCAGCAGCAGTGCTTGACTGGACGCTGGAACACAGCTCCACACTCTTCTCTCTCCCACCCTTGCTCCCTAGACTGTTTCCTGCAGAGCAGTTCAGAGAGGGCTTTTTAAAGCACACCCTCCACACCCCATCTCCAAGATATTTCCACTTAGCATACCCCCAGAGGCGTCATTGTCTGAAGCTTACAGCCCTGCACCGTCCTCCCTAGCGCCTCTCTTTCTGATATCATCCCCGCCCACCTCTGTTTCCCCTACTTGTTCTGCTCCTCCCACACAGCCTTCTTTCTGAAGTTTCTCAAGGGTGCACATTTATTTCTGCCTCTCTGCACCTTGTACTCACTGTCATGTCTTCCCAGAGCCTCTGTCCTTCCTGCTGCCCTGCATTCAGACCTCTCCTCAAACATCACCTTCTCAGAAAAGACCCCTTCGGCTGAATGCCCTCATCAGTAATCCATCTTCCATTCTCTGCTTTTTTCTTCTTAGCACTTAAAGTTTCTTGACATAGTATGTGAATCATTCGTTTTATTTACTTTATCATCCATATTCTCAACGAACTTGTGAGTTTCCTAATTAGGGTGTGGTGGCAGAACCTTGTATGTCTCATTCATGCTCTTCTGGTGCCCGTACAGCATTGGCCACGTAGAAGGGACTTGCAAATACTCGGTGAACAGAGAGGTAAGGTCTGAGTGTTAAATCTTGTAGGTTCTGCTATTTCCTTGGGCGGGTATTAAATCTTCTGCATATAGAGTGTTTGTGCCTTCCTTGTAAGGCTGTTTTAAACTTAAAGTACCAGTGAAGGCCTGCACAGTGCCTTGCAGATAAGTGATGGTGGCTGTTCATCATGGCGGCCCCACTGGGCGGCATCTTGCTGGCACCCAGGCTCACCTGATGGCATGAATACAGTGTTACCCAGAGACTTAACAGTCCCAGGCCTTCCTGAAGCAAAATCTTCTGCCTTTCTCTTTGTACTTTTCATTCCCTCCTTAGTAGCAGAGAGCGAGGATGAGCCATGATATAGTTGCATAATAGTGACTGAATCAGGAGAGGTGATCTGATTTTCTGGGCAAAGCAAAATCTGTGTGATTATGTAGCAAGTGTGTGGGCCTTTTTGAGTGTTGTAGTCTGATAACCTTTCAGAGACACTTAGAGCAGGAAACTGTCACACTGAGAAAAGAGATGCAAACTGATTCTCTTCTACCTCCTGTGTATTCTGAGTACAGTTAAATTTTTGAGGTAAATTTCCAAGTATCATTTGGAAGGCATTGTGTGCTGGGTAACCATGCACAGACATGAACCAGGAGGCTAACAGCAGGTCACCAAAGAGACTTTGTCTGGTGCTCATAAACCAGGGGTATTAATGGCAAAGAAACTGTACTGGTGGTCCCTGGATTAACAATGGTTTGACTTTATGATGGTTGCAAAAGTGAAATGCATTCTGTAGAAACTGTGCTTCATGTTTGGAGTGGTGGCACCCACCACTTGGCCTCTCATCCTTGGCTGGTCCGTCTCTGGCCTAAATAGAAGTCTTGGCCCTCAGAGGGCGGGTGGAGCGGAGCCCCTAGCTCTCCTGTGTTTGGTCTTTTCTTTTTGGGGGTGAGGATGGTCCTTTTCTCTTCCTCCTTTACTGAGAACTGAGCCTCACAGTGTTTAAGTCATTTGTAACTTGTAGATGTTGAAAATGAAATTTGAATCCAGTTCTGCAAAGCTCCAATTCCACTGTTGTGCTTGGTGACTTTACTTTATTTAGTGACATGAGGGATTCATCTAGCCATTTCCGGTGCTGGCCATCTGTCTGTTGGGTCAGCATTTTTGTTTTCTCTGGAACTCAGTTTCTCAGCCCATTCCCTGTTCAGTGTGAACACCTCATATGTCTGTGTGGGTCTCTGTGCTGCTGCCCTTGTCATTTCTGACTTCTGTGTTTCTTCTCCTTGGCTCATATCTGGCCTTTGGTGAGACCTCATGGTGTTAAAACTTCCTCATAAAGAGGGATGTGGGCCTAGGGCAGATAGAGAGAAGGAAACACCAGAGTCTGACTGGCTCGGCTTGATACATCTGTCCGAGGAACAGTTCTTGAGGGCTAAAATGTCACCCAGAGTTCTCTCGCATTTTCTGGCCCCTTCTGGGAAGCTTTGTGGGTGCCCCAGGTCCTGGATGCCTCCCTCAGTCACTGCCCGCATGGTACATGTGGCCTGGCCTTGCTGCCTGCCTGGGATGCCAAGCTTCACACAAGGGTCTGCCTGAAGATGGTTGTTCAGTTGCTAAGTCATGTCTGACCCTTTGCAGTCTCATGGATTGCAGCACGCCAGGCTTCCCTGTCTTTCACAGACTCCCAGAGTTTGCTCAAACTCTCGTCCCTTGAGTCAGTGATACAATCCAACCATCTCAATCTCTGTCACCCTCTTCTCCTGCCCTCAATCTTTCCCAGCGTCAGGGTCTTTTCTAATGAGTCAGCTCTTCACATCAGGTGGCCAAAGTATTGAAGCTTCAGTATCAGTCCTTCCAGTGAATATTCAGGGTTGATTTCCTTTAGGATTGACTGGTTTGATCTTCTTGCTGTCCAAGGGACTCTCAAGAGTCTTCTCCAGCACCGCAGTTCAAAAGCATCAATTCTTTGGCGCTCAGCCTTCTTTATGGTCCAACTCTTATATACACGCACACACACACACACATACCTCTCCATCCCGCCGGGGAGTGTTCTCTCTACCCTCAAGTTTAGTAATATCACACTTCCGAGCTAGACGGAATCCGGTAGGGAACTGACATAATCTAATGAGGAGCAGCTAAAAGTTACAGGAACTGAGCAGGCTGACCCAGAGGTGAAGGATAGGGAGAAAGGAGAATGGGCAAATCAGTGTGCATGGGGTCTCTGGGCAGCTTGCCCTCTTGTGAAGTATTTCCCTGAGATGGAGAATTTGAGAACTTAAATTTGTTGAGTTCAACTTACAGGATTCCATGCCTAATTGATCATCCCACCACTTTTCTAGAAAAGGAGTGTGCCCTGCAAGCATTGTGTACACACTTGCAAACCACTTAACCCAGGCCCTAACTGTCCTGCTGTTTACTCATGCCAGCAAAAACCCGGGCAGCCGACCTGCTGGTGAATCCCCTGGACCCACGGAATGCCGATAAGATTAGAGTTAAAATTGCAGACCTTGGAAATGCTTGTTGGGTGGTAAGTAAAGTGTTCTTTCTTTCTTTGGTTGTGATCATGTATTAGAAGATGCTTTTTCTCTTTTAACGTCTGTGTTCCTCCACAGTAACGTAGTCTGTTCCCTTCCAGCATAAACACTTCACAGAAGACATCCAGACGCGTCAGTATAGATCCATAGAGGTTTTAATAGGAGCAGGTTACAGCACGCCTGCTGACATTTGGAGTACGGCGTGTATGGTAAGAGCGGCCTGTGCCCTTTCCTCTATGTAAAGGCTCATCCCTTTAGTCCCCGCGGTAGGCCAGTCTTACCAGCGCCCATGGCCTAAGCCTTCTGACTGGAGGTTGTCCGCTGAGGGGCGGGCGGGCAAGGTTTAGAGTTGGCAGGATCCTTCTCAGGCATGTCCTTGGGTGTGGTTTGGTTTGGGCTTGTGAGAGACAGCCTCGCAAGGCCCTCTGTGGCCCCCAGCTGCAGACCTCAGCTGTGATGATGGACTCCACGTAGTTCCTGTTGGCGCTTGAAGTCTTGTGGGCTCTGCGCAGCCTGTGTTTCCCTCCCTCAGGCTGTGGAGGAAGATGAAATAGCTGTGATTTAGGGGGAGGTTTGAGGCGGTCTGACAGACCTGTTACTGGAGAGGAGAGGCTCTCCCCACACACCACTGTTTATGCTCTCTCCTGTTAAGCACAGTCTAGAAACTGTTCTGGCTTACGGTTCTAGGCCGTCTAGCCTTGTCAGAGGCATAGCAGCTGCATGTGCTGTTTGAGTAAGTCTGTTCCCACAGGCAGCTTGGCAGTGGTTTTCCTCAGGGCCTCGGGCTGCCTCTTTCCTCTGATGTAACAGAGCCGTTTTGCTGCCACTTGTGTGCGTCAGAAGTCTGGTTGTGTCTAAACTCTCCCAAGCTCCACCAGTGTCTCCTCTCGCTCTCCTTACCTGTGAGCCGATGAGCGTGAACAGTCCCTTGTCTGTCAGCCAGCTTCAGTTTCTTTCTCAGTCCTGTTTCCTGGCCAACTTGTCACCTTTCTCTTAGTGAGCTGAGCTTTGTGGTCTTTTGTTGGAAACATGGGTGTATCTGTTGCTTCAGGTGGTGTTTCATGCTTTTCTTGTATTGTACCCCCCACCACCACCCAAATTCTTCTCTTCTGTTTAAAGTGAGAGAGCATGTGTGTAAAGCTTGGTACTTGTCTCCTCACTAAAAAGGAAGAGTGCAAAATAAATACAACTGTCTGTGATTTAAAGGTAACTGCAGCACTACTTGGGTGTGCGTCCTCTGATGCTAAAACAATATGAAAAAAGAAACTCTGTCTTTCAAGCTTGCAACCAATATGGCCAAACAGGTCTAGAACGGAAAGTATGCCTTTCTGTTCTCTGATGGGTAATGCCAGAGAAAAATTTTAAACTTACATTTCTCAGTAAGTATAAAAAACTGAGTCCCTGCCATGCTGAGTATGGAGACAAATGGTTAGAAGAGCTGGTGTGTGTCATGGCTCCTTTGAATGTCGGGAGGAGATCCGGCACGCTCTGCTGGAGTTCAGGGGCAGGGTGGGGTGGAAGGGCTGGGAGGCAGTGGGAGGCAGGGGCCGCGGCAGGAGAGGGAGGGCACTTTCACCAGCTGGAGCTGCAGGGGCGCAGTGTTCTGTTTCAGGATGTGTGAGGTCAGGCCTTACTTGTCTTCAGCTACACAGAAGGGGCCATATGTGGGTTGTCCTGAATTACACTCTGAAAACTCTTTCAACTCTGAAATCTTGTACTTCTAATTTTGGGTGATAAATTTTGGTGATATAACCAGGAAAAATAGGACAAGATCACAGATGTAGTAGCATAATGCTGGAGCTGTCAGTACAGTTTTATACCAGATTGTCTGTCTTGCCTTCCGTGAGATAAGAGTGTGTACCTCCACAGTCTCCGGTCCTGCCAGCCCCTGTAATCACTGTCAACTATGGCGTCAGTGTCCAGCTTAGACTCCTAAGAAAAAGCACTCTCTCTAGTCTCCTTCTGTCTCCTCCCTTCCCAAGAAGTGAAGTCCCTCAGTGCTTCTAGACCTACTTATAAAGTTCTTTATAATTAGTTTAAGGGTGATTTTCTGGGAGTGGGGCAAGCCTTCATTCCCACCCCACTCCTCCCTGGAGGTCCTGACTGAGAGGTCCCGTCTTGTTCTCCATAGAGAAACTGGTGAAGGTGAGGCAGTCGTCACCCACCCCACTTCTGTTAAAGTTTAAATACACAACAGTGTATTAAATTCGTGACACCAAGCTGTAGTAAAGCTCTGGATTGCTCTTGGTGGGAAAACGCAGGGTTTTTTGTTGTCGATGGCATTATGTCTTAGAGACTCCAGCGGAGGGAAGGGTGGTGGCTGGTGCCCGTGTTCACTGGTAGGTGCGTTTGCCGCTGGCAGGGAGGAGTGCTCTTGCAGCCGGACAGGGTGAGGCAGAGTAGCTGGGATATGTCAGTGGTTGAATCTCTTGTTCTTTTCTTGAGCTTTAGCGCTCCTCCAGATGTAAGTGTACATGATCTAAAAATTTGGTGTGGATCCTGACTTTGGTGGTTCTGCATTTGTGCGTCAGAGTCCTTGAATAGGGCTCCATGGTGACCCCCAGTCAGTGCCATAAAGACAAGAAAAGCCAATCTTGACACATTTAACCAAACTGCTCAGGAGTGTTCACATCATGGAAGGAATTCATGACCTTATTTATTTAGAATGGAGTGCGTTGATATGCGATGGCATTTCAGGAAAAGGGTACCTGGTCTCCCCAGAGCCTGAAGAGAAACGCTGTTCCAGGGGAAGGCCATCTGAGGGGACTGGTCCGAGTACTGAGGAAAGAACCCAGAGTTCTCCAGTATTAAACATGGACAAAAATAATAAAGGTTATATTGAGAGTAACTCAGAGAGTTGAAGGCAATAATCTTTCATGATTTCCTAGTGGCCAGCGTAGAAACCTGTGGCAAAGTACAGAGGCTAGTGTTTCATTATGGTGTGCATTTACCCTATTGTCTGTGTCCTATTTGTTAAAATCTTTTAAGCAGAAATCCTGCAATGAAAGATACTATATTTGTTAGAGTCTTGACAAAAGATACTGTATATGAAGAGATTTTTTTGTGTGTCTTTAAATTGATTTTAGAAAGAAGTATTGAGTTTAATCAGGTTGTAACTTATGTTGAAGACAATTTGATACATAATAAAAGATAACGAGAATATGCAGAAAAAAAGAAAGTCTTATCACGCTTCAGAGAATTAGGACCTGATAATTTGTTGGGGGAGCCTTCATCTTGCCTCTTCCTTACCATTTCATTGACAGGCTTCTTCAAGTTGTATTTCCTTGGAAATACAATGGATGCTAATCAAAATGGCCATCTTTACAAAATGCTGAGCTGATGTAGCTTAGTGTTAGGCTGATAGAAATGCATACAACCAGATTGGAATGATTTTGGAAATCAATTAGAAGAATGAGGTGAAACCAAGGATGGTAAAGAGCAGTTGGTGCTTTCCATGGATACATCCCTCAACTTCCGGAGTCTTCTGCCTGCATTGCGCTTTTACTGTTTTGTCTTGGCACGTGTCCCTGGCAAGAAAGACACTTATTTAGCATGTGATTCACTGTTGCCCTTGGGCCTGTGGCCAGGCATGACGTTTTCCGCCCTCATCTGCAATTGCCAATAGTGTCCTTATTGTTTTCTGGGTGGAGAGGGCAGGCCCTGAAGTGCATAGACGACCCCCTTGTTCCACTAAGACCTGGCACATCTGGGTTCAGCTCAGACCCAGGTCTGGTTCAGGGCAGGGATCCTGAGTTCATGAACTAGTGCTCGTCGCAGGGTAGCTGGCAAGAGGCTTGTCATCTTACTTCCCTCTTTTCTTTAAAACAAAAAAAAAATGCAAGATGAAGAGACGTGGTGCTGGGCTAAGTGCGCTTGCCTTGGTTTGTGAAGGACTCCACCCCAGGCAGATGAGCCTTTCCTAGTGGGTGCACATTGGCGGTCATCAACAGAAGGGGAGAGGGTGGGCCAGTTCGGCCGGGGCTGGAGAGGGAGCGGGCGGTGCAGCAGCCACTGAGCCCTGGGCCTCGGTTAGGGTGCACATTGGCGGTCATCAACAGAAGGGGAGAGGGTGGGCCAGTTCGGCCGGGGCTGGAGAGGGAGCGGGCGGTGCAGCAGCCACTGAGCCCTGGGCCTCGGTGAAGCAGGGACGGGCCCCTGGGGGCCTCCACAACAGCGCACTCTAATATACAAGAGAAGTAAGTATGAAGGAGACCGGAAGTAGGGTTTGGCTTGTTCTTTTTAAAAAGAATTCTTTTAATTTGTTTAAATTCTTACTTAAAGCATGTTTTTTTTTTAAACATGATATTTGATTAATAGAGCAGTAGCAGTTGTCATCTTTATTTACTGTTAGCAAATTAAACTCATGGTCCTTAGACAATTTTATAAATAAAAGATATAGACTCACTGGCAGAAATGAAAATAAATACCCCTCCTGTCACCTCACCAGCACCCTACCCTGTACCCTTGGGGGCTGATCCTATAACCAGGAAGTTCTCCTTGCCAACCACAGGCGGCTTACACAGTGATCTAGCACCTCCTGGCCTGGGGTGACCACAAGAGGGGCTTCTTTGGTTCTAGAAATTTCCTTTGGTTGAGTCAGAAATGAATGAAGTGATGAGAGTTGTTGAAAGGAGCCCCCAGTTACTAAGGCACAAAGGTCTTCCCTTCAGGAGGGTGGCAACACCCTCGGTCCAGGCCCAGGCCAGCCTGCAGGTTGCGGGCAGGCTCTGGGTCAGACAGCCCTGGTCCCTGGAGTGTTCCGGCTAGTCCTGCACACAGTTGCTTCCTCCGAAATATATAAGAATGTTTTTGAAGCTTCTTTGAACTTTTGGGAAGAAGAAAAAAAGCCTGATGTTGAGCCTTTAAAGGAGACTCTGGTTTGATTCAGATCCTCATAAAATGTAGGTCTCTTGTACCAGAAAACATTGCTGGCTTGGACCCAGTCTCTGAAGCGCTTAGCATGTCATCTGTTGTATCCTAGGCATTTGAGCTGGCAACGGGAGATTATTTGTTTGAACCACATTCTGGGGAAGACTATTCCAGAGACGAAGGTAAGTATTGTTGCCTGCTGAATACCTCGGTATGGGTCTACAGGGAGTCTGGGCCTTCTGGAGAACATTGTGTTTTTGCACAAAAATAGAACTGTGTTTGGTTTTCAAACACCAGATTCAGATGCTTTCCCTTAGAGCTTGAAGCCCCCTCAGTCACAGTGACTGGGCAGAGCCTCCTGGCACAGGTGACCCTGCGGGGAGCTTGTGGCCTCAGCCCGCCCCCTCGCAGGCTGGGAGAGGACAAGCCGGATGAACCCGGGTCCAGGCCTTTCCATGGTCCTTTTGTCCACTGATCTGCTGCCCATTTCTCTGTTCTGCTGGGGGCTGAATTTAAAATGACGGAATTCTGGCTTGAATTCCATCTGCAAACCTATCCATCTCCATGCTTACTTGCTTGCAATGCTGGGGTGACCTGGGGTGAGCTGGCCTCAGGTCAGCTGGTTAACTGGCTGTTAATGCTCCAGTCCTGAGGCCTGCCATCCCAGAAGCCTCTGCATGGATGTGCTGCAGACATTGTTGATTTGAATCTATTTCTGATTTTTTACTAATTTCGATTTTTCCCCCCTCTTCTTTTATCCCATCCTTCCCTCTGCCCCTCCCATTCCCGTATCCTTTTTTTTCTCTCCTCCATAGACCACATAGCCCACATCATAGAGCTGCTAGGCAGTATCCCAAGGCACTTTGCTCTATCTGGAAAATATTCTCGGGAATTCTTCAATCGCAGAGGTAGTACCTCTTCTTTTTGAAAAGCGCCACGATGCAGACAGAAACGAAATAGCAGCTGCTCATGGTAGCATTAATGGTGACAAAGGCATTTCTCTTAAATTCCCAAAGCAACCCAGCAGAATTCCTCTGCTGATGTCGGAGCTGAGGAGGAGACCGCACTTGGCCCCAGGCCACGGTCCCCTGTGCGTCATCCCCTCCGAGGGGCCTTGAGCAGAGCCTGTGCTCTGTTTGTGCAGGCGGCGCTCTGTTTCTGTCTGCGCGGGCGATAGCGGTGTCTGCATGCAGTGTACTGATTAAACTGTCGTGTGTTTCTGTTTTGCTGGCAATGTTTCCCAATGCAGATCACATAGCATTGATCATTGAACTGCTGGGGAAAGTCCCTCGAAAATACGCTATGTTGGGGAAATATTCCAAGGAGTTTTTCACCAGAAAAGGTAACGGTATTTATGTAACACTAATTTTCAGCATGATCCTCTCCCTAAGGAGACATTGTGCATTCACATTTGGGCAGTGGATACAGATCTGGACTTTTACACCTGGGGGATTCTGCTGAAGAAAACTCTCAAGAAATAAAGAATCATCCGATATCTGTGGAATAAGAATTTTGTGAGACAGCAGTCTTCAGAAAATCCTTTGATCTTCTCCACACCTCTCCTTTACACTAAGCATCGGTCCGTGTATTCAAGTATTTATAAAAGGAGTTTAAACGATTTTTAGAAACCAGCTATACTTGCCTTTCCATTTTCCATGTTGTTTCTGGAGCCAGAGTGCTTTTGCAGTGGAGCAGAGCCCTAGAGGGTGGACTTAATGGCAGTCCGTCTGCATCCTAATTCATGGGTCTGAGCTGGTTCTGTATGGGGAGTGGGCCTGTGACGTCCTGTGTGCCTCACATTCTTATACATCAGATCCTGTTCTCCTGGGGCCTCACCTCACACTGTACTGTGGGTGATTTATTTTAATATTATACTTGGTGATCTCCCCTTGGCATGGCCTAGAACACAGCTCTTTGCCCTGGATAGTCCCTAGTTAATGATCAATTTTTAAAAACACCCAAAAGCCCCAGGGAATTTATTTTTACAGAACCTTCCCCCAGTGCCGTCGTCTTTCATGTGAGCATGGATAGCTCTCTTAATTCATGTTTTTTTATCATAGATTTTTTTGGGGGCGGGGGGAAGGAGTGCAATTTCCTTTAAAAAAGAACTTTTGAAAGTTGATGTGGGCAAGACATGGAGTTTCTAGAAATTTTTGCAAGTACTAGATACTCTGTCTTCTATAGTCAAATTGATTCTCCAAATTTGGCTTATTTTCCTGTGAGATAAGGCGTTCTTGTGCAGTAGTAATGCTTTATGATTCACTTTGGTGATTTCCAGCTAACCAGTCCTGTCTTGTCTTTTGAATTTCATTTCCCTGTTTTTGCATGAGGCCTGATTGCTAACCATGCCAAAGACGGTGTTTTCCTACGCCACTTACTCTGAGTGCATTGACCAGACTCTCAACTTTATTGCACCCACCCAGTGGATAACCTGTGAAGTATGTAACTGGATGCAGTATTTTTTCTTTTTTTAAATCTCATCACAGGAAAAAAAAAACTGTCAGGGAACAGTGTTCTTCAGACATGTCTTAGTTTGATTCTAAGAATCTTGTCTTTGAGTCTGGGTCACTCAAGCAGGTACAAAAGTCCCCTCACCACACACAGACCTTCACGCGGTCTCAGGTTGTACTCAGGGCAGCACATTCAGTGGCAGAGCTGGGGCTGGAGTGCAGTGGGGGACCGGCATGGCATGTCCCATTGTCTCCGAGGCTGTTGTGGGGCCCTTCTGGTGGTGCATCCTCCCTCCAAGGAGGTGTAAGAGAGTATCTGCAACCCGGGGTACGCTGAGAGCTGATGCCTTTATTGTTATAAACAGCGAAACACTGTGTACATTGTGAATTTCTGGACAGCAGTATTGCTGAGAGTGGACAGTTTCCTAGGAGATTTCCAGAAAATGTTATTTGAACATAGTTGAAGCAAAGGAAAGCTCTGGATTATTTTGGCCTGGGATGGCATGACTTGGGGAGTTGTTTTTATTTTAACCAAGGTAGACTCCTTCCACATTTTGGAGTGTTTTCAGAGCCTGTAGGAGATAGCCTGAGCCCCATGGGGACTTGGCTGGGATATGACCTGCCCCCAGCTGCAGCCTTCCCCATGTCGGGTGCAGCTGTGAGGGGAGGCAGCCAGAGTCGCAGCCTGAGCTGTCACGCGGTGTGGGCCTGCGGGTGCCCCAGAGGGGGTGGGAGAAGGCCCGGGAGGGCGCTCGTCCCCACCGCAGGCACCAGGTGTGGTGATGACCAGCAGCCAGCAAGGTTCACAGGGGCTTTTCCTTTCATTGTGCTGCCGCCGCCCTTGGCTCTGTAACAACAAGGGACCAGCACTGTGCATAGTGGGGAAGAAGCTGAAGAGGGACAAAAGGCGGGGCCTTAAATGGTGAGAAAATGAAGTCAGGCAAATGTCTTGAAGGTGCCTCTGCCCACAGCCTGTGGACAGGTTTGCTCATGGAGACCCTGCTTGGAGACTCTTGCTCCTCTTGGGCTTTGCCTCTGATCTGAGCTACAGGCACGGGGCGGGTGAAAGCTGCCAAGTCCCATCCCAGAGCCAGTGGTGGGCCTGAGCCCTCCCCTCACCGCACCTGTGGGGCTCCTTCAGCAGATGCTGGTACGTGAGCCTGGGGTCCTGCTGTGCCCAGTGGCTGAGTGCAGCTCGGGGCTCTCTGTCCAGGGTCCTGGCTTTCACACTGGCCTTTCCGTAAGAGCCCTTACTCCTCGGACAGCGGGAGCACCGCCCGCGCCCAGAGGGGAGTGTAAAGTGCTCGTGTGGACCTGGCCGCCCCATCGTCACGTTTTCATGTGTGTGTGTTGTGGGGATTGTGTGGCTGGGCTCTTGTTTGAGGAGCACGTTTGAAGGTGGCCTGCGGAGTTGAAGGGTGTCTGGCGTCCTCGGTAGAGGTAGACTGACATGGAGCTGACGTGTGTTACTCTGGCGACTAGGGTCCTTTTCTCCTTCCTTTGGATGATTAGGTAGGAAATCCCCTACAATGACTGGGAATGGGGACTTAAATTCTTTCTTGATTATTATTTACTTGTAGTAACTCTGAAACTCATGAGGGATTTAGGGCTTTCACAGAACTCATGGGAATAGTATGATGATGAGTGAGAATCTGTCTTGAAGTTGATTTCACTGTGTCCCTTGGGATGAGGGGGATGATTGGCTGTAATTAAAATGTGTGTTGGCATGCCTCCACCAGTAAGGGGGAGTGTATATGTTTTAGAAATAATGGGATCTTAAATGTATCCATTTAAAATTTCTTCTAAAATACCTTTGTGCCAGAACTGGTAGAGAAAGGTGAAATTGAAAACTGCCATTACTTTACTTACGCCTCTTTGGAAAGCAGGGGGCTTGAGAGGCCCGAGCAGCGGCCTCCCTGCTCTTCTTTGTCCTCCCCATCCTCCCCATCGTCCTGGGCGGGAAGCACATCTTACCCTGACCCAAGGCCGGGGAAGAGGTGCCTTAAAGCTGAAAATGAGGTGCAGCTAAGTGGCATCATCTTGCTTATAATTCAGAATAAAACAACTGCTACTAGTTTGAATTGTTTCTTGGTCAGGCATTTTGAAATTGAGGTGGACTTTTTTGGCCAGCAATGTAATTACTGTTCTCACCATGTTAGGATTTAATCTTCTGATCTTCCCTTCGAGTGTGGGACTAGCCTCAAAGGTATATAAGAAAAGCCATCTTGGCCTGTGTGTCAGGGTGTGGCCCAGCAGAAGTGAGCGCCTCTGCGGGTCTTGTCCCCATGCTGTCTCGCATTGGTCTGGATGTCAATATGGGTTCCTCCAAACCTGGGCCTGACCCCTAAAGGTGACAGTGTTAGGAGCAGGGCTGTTAGAAGATGCATCAAGTTATGAATGGTGTAGTACCTTATGGAGACACCTGGAGAGCTCGCTGGCCCCTCCGCCACCAGAGGACACAGTCTCTGCCCTGGAGGAGGGCCCTCACCCGCCTGCACTGGCGCCTGCCTTGAGGACTTTGAGGAGTCAGTTTGTTGCTGTAAGCAGCCTGAATGGACTAAGACACAAGCCTAGGAAAGTGTCCTAGTCCTCAGGTGATGGCAAGAAAAACAGTACAGCCAGGAGCACACCTCATTGTTCTGCCAAACAGGTATTCTGTGGTGCCATCATTTTAGTAAAAGTTGCTGTATTAAGGATTGAAATATCAGAGGAGATGGTTATCTTTAAAAAGAAAAAGCTGCTTGATTCTGGATGAGGGTGTTGAGTGTGTTGTAATGTATGTGAGTGATAGTATATGTCAGACCAGAGACCTCTAAGTACAGTGGGAAATTTCAGAGCATGCAAGAAACTCATGTGTAGTCAAAGGACTGCATTTGCAGGCACACCTTCAGGGTTTGTGACGTCCAGTAGAAGGAGGAGAAAAGTGCAGGAGAAGGTGAAACTCAGGAGCCAGGTTTTCAGTCTTTTTTTGTTTTTTTCTTCTGGCTGCATCTCTCTGTGGGATCTTAGTTCCATGGCCGGAGATAGAAGCTGGGTCCCAGCAGTGAGAGTGTAGGGTACCAACCACTGGACTGCTAGGAAATTCTCAGGAGCTGGGTTTTAGTATAGGTACTATTCTTGATTTTTAATGTTCAGATGGAACATTTTAGGTTGATTTTTAACATCTCCAGAATTACCTAAAAATCATCACATTCTCTTATTTCTGTGAAGAGAAAAGCTGCTGTGTGATGTTTGGCATGCACTGGCTGGGCACTGCCCCGCCTGATCTGCTTGGCTTCAAGTTTAAAACCTTCTTGATCATAGCATTTCCATGCAGCATATGCAGTGAAGACAGGAAGATGCCCAGGTACGCTTACAGTGGTTTGCAAACTTGAGGGCCGCCCAGCCTGGCAGCGCTGGGGACGGAGGACGCGTCCGTCGCGGCCCCGCTCTGTCCTGCAGGCGTGTGTCCGCTTGGCTGAGCTCAGTGGGAGCTTGATTCTGGAAATAACTAGAATAAAGTGTCTTCATACTTGTGAGTCTTAAAGCCTTTGAAACAGAAACTGCTTTAACTCTGATTTTATCAGGAGCGTTAATTCTGTGTGATAAGAAGTCTGGTTTTTCCTCTCTGTGATAAACTCTCTCAGGACCTGAGCTCCGTGTGAGCAGGGGCTGGGGCTGCCAGTGCAAGTGGGGTTCTGTCCACAGTGGGTCCATTTGAAGTCTCCACTGGACTCCCAGTCTTTGCTGTAGGGCGGCCTTTGTGAGTTGGAAGCAGACTGGCAGTGGTCCCCATGCTGGGCCAGTCCTGGTGAGGCCTGTCATCCCACCGGGCCCTGCGCAGAAGCTGTGTGACAGAGGCCCCCGCGAGGGTTGCGGTAGGAGACGGTGTGATGATGTCACAGCCAGCTCTAGCGATGCCGGACATAGCAGAGGTGTGAGGGAGATGACAAGCCACAGCTGAGACTAGGTTTCAGTTACTGTTCAACTACTTAAATTTGAGCATATGGTTAAAAAAAAATGGCAGTGAAATTGCTACAGCATGTTCAGGTAAATTCTATCATAGTTCATCCCATTTATTCCTGGCATTTATTCTGAGCTCCTCAGTAGTGAGTTGTTTTTACCGTATCCTTAAACAGCCTGGAATTCTTTTTTAAACTTATTTTTTGGTAAGCTTTTTGCCAGTTTTTCAGTGACAGTTTTATTGAGGTGTAATCTACATACCATAAAATTCACCCTTTCAAAGTGTGCAGTTCAGTAATTTTTAGTATATTTACACAGTTATGCAAATGTTACTGCTGTCTAATTTTAGAAGGTTTTCATTACCTCAAAAAGAAGCCCTTGGCCTGTTAGCACTCCCCCTCCATCCCCCCACCATCAGCCCCTGGCAATCTTGGTCTACTTTCTGTCTATGAATTTGCTTATTCCAGATTTTTTCATATAATTGGAATCATAAAGTGTGTTGATATTTGTAATGGCTTCTTTCATGTACTCTCGTGCTTTCCAAGTCCATCCATGGGTAGCATGAATCAGTACTCCATCCTTTTTTTTGTACGACTGAACCACATCGGATTCCCCATTTACCACTTGATGGACATCTGGGTCGTTTCCATCTTTTAGCTATTAATGCTGTTGTGAACATTAATATACAAGTTTTTGTGTGGATATGATGTTTTCATTTCTCTTGAATGTGCATGTGATACTTGAGTTACAAAGGTTTTTACTTTTTTATGAAGTTCAGTTTTCTGTTTCTTAATTTTGTTACTTGTGCTTTTGATATTTTAATATAACATCTAAGAAACCTTGCCTATTTCAAGGTCATGAAAACTTATTTTTCTGTTTTCTTCTAAAAACATATGGCTCTAGCTCTTCTACTTAGGTCTAGGATCCATTTGAGTTAATTTTTATTTGTGTGGGAGGTAAGGTTCATTTAGAATTTGACCTCAAATATTTACTTACATGTACTTTGTAGGAAATTATTCAAAATTTTTAAGTTTTTTGTCTTCCTTAATACCTGTATCTACTGATAGGTTTCCTTTCTCTGTGTCTGCTACTGAAATTTGTCATAATTTATTTTATATCATGGTTTCTTTTTTAGTTACCAGTAATACAGTACCAGGATTTTGTTTTATAGTCCCCTATGTGCAGTGTAAAACCTCACATGTTTGTGTGTTTAATTCTGGAATGTTATAATCTCATAGGCAAAGTGTAATACATTTTCCTTCATAAATCACCTAAAATAATACTCCAGAGAAGAGAAACAGAAGGGCTTAATATTTTTCCTTAGCAAGAACGCATAGCAAGCGGCTGGCATGCGGAGTGGCCGACCCGAACTTTCACTCCAAGGGAGGAGCCCTCTTTCAGGCCTGTTGATCAGTCTTCCTCGGTGTGTGTGTGTCGGGGAGGTTCTGCCCACAGAGCCGGTCAGGAAGCCTGAGAGGCAGCGCTGCCCATCTGGCCTTGCTGGCAGCCAGGTGGCCTGCATGTGTGTGAGAGCTTGATGCTGAGGGACAGTTAAGTGTTACTCAGCATTCTTTAAGAAAGAAAGGGCTGGAAAGGCTTTAAGAAGTAAAAACTGTCTCAGTCAAGTGTTTCAGTATTGGCACAATTTGTTTCAACAAAACATACCTTGATATATTTTCCTAAGGGAAAAAATTGTCAAGTTGTAAAAGCTATTTGTACAGTAGGACAGATAGTAAAAAAAAAAAAAATATTTTGAAAATGTTTTACTATCTGATAGTTTTATTTTTGTTTTGTATTATACGTGGTGGGAATGGCTGTGTTTGGGGTGGCTGTGTTTCTTGTGTGTTAGGGGTCAGACTGGTCAGAGGGGTCAGATGAGTGGACTTGAGGCCCTCACTTATCAAAGGAACCTTTCCTTGGCGGTTCTAGGAATGTGTGTGCTGAGTCCTGTCTGACTTTTTGTGAGCCTGTGGGCTGAAGCCCATCATCCTCCTCTGTCTGTGGGATTTCCCACAAGAACTCTGGAGTGGGTTGCCATATCCTTCTCCAGGGGATCTTCCTGACCCTGGGATTGAACTGAATTGCAGGTGGATTCTTTATCACTGAGCCACCAGGAAGGCCACTGCATGTATGAATTTGTGTGAGTTTGGGAGCTTACGGTTTGTTTTTAAGTAACTTCTATCAACTGTTTATAAGATAGTGCTGCTGCTGCTTAAGCAGTTGAACATAAATAGTACATACGATGACAGGGTGAGGTAAGTACATTACCTGTTTCTCTTGGCATCGTAGAGTTTTCCCACCTACCTTCATAATCCACATATTTGTTCATTTTAGAGGCAACACACTATTCTATTATTGCAATATTGTTATGTATTCAGTATCTTTGTACATACAGTTTTCTGTGTGCATTTTACCTGGTCAGAAGTGTGTCAGGTATTCTAGGATTTCTTTTGGAATCACCTTTATCAGTTTATAGTATAGCTTTCCCGCCTTGTATGGTTTTCCTGTTATTATGCAGATTTTAAGGCATCTCTCATGGTGAAGCAGCTCTCCTTTCAGGGAAGTTTGTGTGTACTTGGATGCCTGTTCATGGAGCTCAGTCTGAGAACGGCATCCTCAGGAGCAGATTCCCAGTTCTGAGCTGCTCGTGCTCAGCAGTTGCTCTTATTTGCAAGCCTGGAGAGTGCTTACTCCATTGAAGTACAGAGTTATGTCCCCCGTGGAGCTGGTTTTGCCATGATGAGTGTGTGTTTCCGTAGTTTGCTCTAACCTTGTCCTGGTGTCATCAGCAGTCACTACAGAATCAATGGAGCTGCATTAGAGAGGATGCGGAAAGAGGAAGAAACAACCTTAAACAAAGCTGATGTCTGGGGGTGGTTGCTTTCCATCTTTATGGCTCTTTGAAAATTACTCTTGGGATCATTTGTAGAACATAGTTTTGGTTGTTTTGGCCATGCCAGACAGCATACAGATAGTTCCCTGATCAGGGTTTGAACCCATGCCCCCTGCACTGGGAGTGTGGAGTCTTAACCACAGAACCACCAGGGAAGTCCCTAGTATGTAGTTTTGACTTTTATTACTACTTAACATGTGGCTATATAGTTTCCACCATGTTACTGAGTAATACTAAATAACATTCATCAAGTATATGTACCAGGTCTGGCTGTGTTTTTGACCACAATTCTCTGATGACTGAACACTTACGAAGTTGTGAGTATGTAACATAATTTTACAGTGAGCATATTTGGGGGCCAGGGTTTATTTCCTTAGGTAGGATTCCTACAGCAGGAGTTTCTGGGTAAAGCAGTGAACATGCGTTGCTTGCTCCCACTCACTCTCGCGGAGACTGCTGCCGGGAGAGGAACTCTCGCTCCTGTCAGACGGCAGACACCTGCCTCGGTCTCCCTGCTTGGCTGTCTGCCCTGTCCGCGTGTGAGAGTCAGGAACTTACACCTCTCCCTTTCCCAGAGATACATCCTTGTGATTTCTTTGTTCAGAACTGTGTGCACATCATGACAGCCCTGTAGACAGACCAGTTCATAAGAACGTAGGTGGAAAGAGTCTAGGCCAAAAGGAAGTCATCGTGGGTGAATTACAAGCTGTTTTTCCTTTTGTTTTTTTACATTGTGATACTGACTTCTGGGATATTCTTTTACCTTCTCTATGATTAAAGAAAGAGGAGGGGTGTGCATCTACTCTGAGTCACAGACCAGGCCTCCTGAGGAGACCTTTGTGAGCACAGGACCGACCCTCTGTCAGCGCATGTTGTGTGCTAGCCCTCCTGCTCTGGTCGGGTCACAGCAGGCAGCCCCAGAGAGGGGAACTGGCCCAGCCCCTGTGTGAGGGCGCCTGTGAGCAGCCTAGGCCCCGGGGCATGGAGGTGGCCTCGTGGTGTGCAGGTAAACATTGCCAACAGGGAAAATGAGTTATTCTTCATGACAGTCATACTGTCCTTTTGACTTAAAATGACTTTTTTTCCCTATTATGAAAAAGGCTATTACAGTTCCCAGACCATTTACTAGCATGTCAGTCACTCTGTCTGACATGAACAGGGCTGTTCATGACTCACACTTTTCATACTGCAGTTAGAACATTTTGAAAAGGATAACTTAAGGCTTTTTATAAATTGATGTCTGATAGATTTTAGAACAGATTTGTGGAGATCAATGGAATTCTGATTTGGGTTGACTCTAGAGTTGTGCTGTCCAGTTACAGGAGCCAGTAGGTACTTGTAGCTATTTAAACTAAATATTAAAACTCTGTTCCCTGGTCACACCAACTCCATCCTGAGTGCTCAGTAGCTGTGTTGAGCTGACAGCGACCATATGGCAGTAGACCATATACTGTCTACTGTATTGGACAGTAGAGATAAAGTATTGATACATCTCTACCATCACCCAAAGTTCTCTTCATTAGCACTCTTCCAGATGAAAAGATTCCCCTTTCTTTTCATGGTAACCTGCAGGAAAAAACCAGTCTATTTAAGGAGTTTAAAGCTTCTTCTAAGCAAATAAGCAAATTGCAAAGAGTCCCAAGTTGAAGAGTACCTGGATCCATCTTAGCAAATGAAAATATTCTGAGTGTCCTCAGCATGCTCCGCTTATTTAAAGAAACCTGGAACTGATACAAATGAATTTTTCCCTTTTAAATGAACCCCTGTTTACATTCACCAAGCTTCCTTAGTGGGGAAGCTGGCTTTTGTTGTTGTGTAGTGTTGCAAAGGTAAGTATCTGCTTTATTGTAAAGAACTCGGCTGGACCAACAATAGGAAATGCACCTTAGGAGCTCTCCTGACGTTGCCTGTCCTTCCCTGCAGGAGAGCTGCGGCACATCACCAAACTGAAGCCCTGGAGCCTCTTTGATGTACTTGTGGAGAAGTATGGCTGGCCCCATGAAGATGCTGCACAGTTTACAGATTTCCTGATCCCGATGCTAGAAATGGTTCCAGAAAAACGAGCTTCAGCAGGCGAATGCCTTCGGCATCCTTGGTTGAATTCTTAGCAGATTCTACACTCACCTGTTCTGAGCTGGCACATGTTGTCCAGTGCATTTGGCCCTAAAGGGGGACTCTCATTCTTAACAGGATTACAAGTGAGCTGGCTTCATCCTCAGACCTTTATTTTGCTTTGAGGTACTGTCATTTGACGTTTTGCTTCTTGTGCACTGTGATCCTGGGAAAGGGCAGTCTTTTGTCTTCAGCTTAGTAGTTAACTGACCCACTTTTCTTCTGAAAACAATAACATGTCTCTAAGCATTGTTTCTTGTGTTGTGTGACATTCAAATGTCATTTTTTTTTTTTGAACGAAAAATACTTTCCTCCTTGTGTTTTGGCAGGTTTTGTAACTATTTATGAAGAAATATTTTAGCTGAGTACTATATAATTTACAATCTTAAGAAATTATCAAGTTGGAACCAAGAAATAGCAAGGAAATGTACAATTTGATCTTCTGGCAAAGGGACATCATTCCTGTATTATAGTGTATGTAAATGCACCCTGTAAATGTTAATTTACATTAAATATGGGATGGGGATTCAAATTTCAGAAAAGCTACCCAGTCTTGAGTGCTTTGTAGCCTAAGTTGCATGTAATGGACTTTTAACTGCTCCAAGGAGTTGTGCAAACTTTTCATTCCATGACAGTCCTTTTGCATTGGATTTTAAACAACTGGTTCTAGGTTATGTCATTTACTGTATGGCACTTTAAAAAAAGGACATGCTTCTCATTCTAAAATACACATTATAGTTTAGTGGTCCCATTCGTATTTTTCATATTTTTAATTAAAAGTACTTTTAAGGAAAAAGAGCAATTTCCCTTTAAAAATGTGGTAGCCCAGTACCACGTGGTGTTGCTTCCTCCAGGCACTGTAAGTTAAACTCTACGTAGATTAAATTGGACAAGAGAAACATGTTCAGTGTGTGGAATGAAAAAATACACATATCTTTTTTTGGAAAAGCTTATTCGTGTTTGTCTAGAACAAAGGTATGGTATATACAACTTGCAGTGCAATGGAAAGAAAGAATACTAACATCTCAGAGAAAACAGGGACTGCATTCATTCCAGAGACAATTTTGTGTGTGGCTACAACAAATTTTACTAGATTTTTCATTGTCCTTCCATGCATTGAAGTTGAGAAAATGATTTTCCCTTTGCAGGTTGCACACAATTTTGTTTAAGCATTTCCTTAAAATTGTAGAATCCAGGACACAAACCATAGTAGGCAATACAATTTTAGAATGTAATATATAGAGGTACATTTAGCCTCTTTTAGAAATCAGTGGATTGAATGTTGTTTTTTTTTAAATTTTACATTCCTCAAGGTGCCTCGTTTTTCTTGACTTTGTCCATTAACATTTATCCATATGCCTTTGCAATAACTAGATTGTGAAAAGATAACAAGTGTTGTAACAATAATCCATTGTTTGAGGTGCTTGCAGTTGTCTTAAAAATTAAAGTGTTTTGGTTTTTTTTTCCCAGACATTGCCTTGGTCATTGGCCTGTATTTGAAGTGATAGAAACAAACATTTGCTATCCTTTTAATGTAGTATAACCAGAATTAAAGGACATATCAGCATTCCTGTTGAAAGAAATGTAGAACATGCATCAAGGCTTAATATGAGGAAAACACTGTTTGTAAGGGGTATGACATGGTCTAGAAAACATGCTGTAGTGTAGATTCAGTACCTAGAATTTCTGTGAACCCTTTCCATTCATATTTCATCAGAAACATGCTAGTTACATTTTGTTTGAGCATTGTCAGTTTTATTTTTTTAAACTATTCACTGTGAGGGAATGAGACACATAATTCTCTTAGAAGTCAACATTAGATCGTATTGCTGTGAGGTGGAAGATACCATTCATTTATGTGATGTGAATGCTAAGTTTTTCTAATAAGGCTGTAGGTTACCTTGTAGGTTCTGTGAAAGATAGTGGCTGTAGACCAGTGATGCCATCCATGACGTGCACAGGAACCAATCTCACGAGAACCACGGAATACATGTATGTCTTCCCTAAGTCTGTAAGAATTTTTATCAGGGTTATAGTACACTTGAAGTTAGGAAACAGTCTAAATTATTACTACTTTTGTTAGGATCTTTCACTTATAAAATAGCCTGCTAGTTTATAAATGAAAAAGCAATTGTTTAAGAAAGAATATGCAAGGGTATTAGGTATAGTTTGGTTTTTAGCAGATTCTTGGTGGCTTAATGATGATAAATGCATATAAGCTCAGTGAGAACCACTGGTTATGCAGAACACTATAGCCAGGTCAGTGATTTTAGTTGAATGTCCTGTCTTTTCCTTTCTCTAGTCTATGTGACGTCTTCATGGAAAATGACAAGCAGTGGATCACATATGTGATTATAGCAGATTCAGAAGCTGGCTGGCTGGAAATTAGGACTGCCTCAAGGCAGAGGAAAAGTGGATATAGGAGCTCCAAAAAAGCATAAACTTTCTAGGTGAAAACTGATTTACTAACTTGCTTCTTCCTGTACTTGGATCATCTATAGCTAGCTAACCAGGATAAACTACTGTTTCTATTGAGATACTTCTTAAATTCCAGTTTTCTCCCATTACTTTTTTAGAGATTAATGGAGTTTACAGAAAGGCTTCTGTATACTTATGTAGTAGGCAAATATAAAAAAACTATGAGGAATTAAATCTTCAGGCCAGTCCTTTTAAAGAAGTGTGAATACTGATAGTTCATTATGGGACTTTGTCTTCTGTTTAAAACTATCAGGCAGTGGATGATGTAAAGCTCTTTCTTCTCAGATAGATGTTTCTTTAGTGAATGCTGTAAGTAGAATTTTGTCTGCTAATCAAAGAGGGCAAAGTTGACTTAAGTTCTTTTAAAATTTGAAGATGATCAGGATTGAGCCCTAAGCAGAGTGCTATGTTAATGTAGCTATTTTTAAAAGGAAATGGAAATTAAAAGTATAAAATGTATTACTGCCAATCTTAGTCATTTTTAGTCTGTCTACTTTTTCCTCCAGTACACAGATTTCATATACTGTGCCAAATTTTAAGCAATTGGATGATGAAAGATGTGTTGACAAATACTGTCCCTTATATTGGTTATACTTACTCCTCCTGAGAAGTAGAAGATAATAAGTATTATTCCAAAATAATATTTTATATTTCAGCAATAAAATGTTCACTTGAGAGGCCATTTTCATTTTGCTTAGCTAAGAAATAATGCCTTTTTCCTTTAGTTTTGTACACCCAAAACAAATTTCCTACTACTCTTTTAAATACTATAGCTAGACAGTATTGTGTTAATTTAAGGTTTCTTGTTAATGTAAGGTTTTTCACATAATTTTGATTCATCGACAGGACATTTCAGTCATGTGCAAGTGAGATATTCCTGTTTTTAGGTGAGATACTCTGTATTTTCAAACAGTTGTAGTCTATAATTGAATCATGTGCTGCTTTAATGAAATGGATTCGTTTCGAATGATGTCAGATATAACTGAATGTTTGTAGCATTGATGTAGCATGGTAGTTTCCTATGGTTCTTGCTCCTGCGAAGTAACATGTAGGAACATTACAGGAACAAGCCTTTACTGCTTCCTGATGCTTGTCGCAGTCCAGTCCAACTGAGGTAGTAGTTGCTAAAGAAAATGGAAGGCTTCTTACAAACTGTCTGGAAAAGGTAACTTTTGTAAAAAACGCTTAAACAGACCCCAATCTCAGAAGTTGTTCAGGACAATTTGGTAAAACTGACATAATTGTGGTTTATTAACATGAATTAAAATGCCCAACCAGTGCTTCAATGTGACAGTATATTTAAAATAAAAAAGAAATTAAAAGCCATATACTGTACTACTTTCACAAAGATCACATAGTTTTGCAAAGACTTGTCATATGTACAATGCTATATATCAAATGAGAAAAGCTGTAAGCAATTATATACGCAAAAGAAATGCAGTATTTACAGTCAGGAGACATTAAAAATCATTTATACATTTAAATTACATTTTGCTTGCAAATAACCGATAAAACAAAATGAGCCATGTTCACAGCAAACTATAAAAATCTGTATTGCATTTTTTTATACCTAAGATGCACTCACAGAACTGCTGATAGAAAGAAAATCCTCATACTGCCATTACTTAGCTGTGTGGTTAATGCATATGTATAAAATAATATAGAAAACATTCACTAAATGAATTTTAACTGCAACAATAAAATTTAAAGATCATGTAGCATCAAATCTACTGCCAGAAAAACAGCTGGAATGTTCACTTACAAAATAAAAGATACTAACACTGGCTTAACAGCACATTTTTTTAAGGAATTTTAAAAAGCAAAAATGGGAAAAATACAATGAAAGAGCACTGGTGTTTTTCCTTTTTTTATACAAAGTTTCATGTACAAGCTTTAAAAAGTACCTTAACAGGTACATATGAAATATACAGTTTATCTTACAGAACATTTTAAAAAATGTTTTTGGAGTCCATCTTAATGCCACCCCGAACCATGGTAATTGTTCTGAAATGTCGGTGGCACCTGTGCTCTGTGAATTGGAATCTGTCCAGGCACTGGAGATGCCTGCTGAGGTCCTTGGACCCCATGTGGCAGGGCCACAGAGCCAGGATGAGGACAGAACCCTGAAGCGGTAGGTGTTGGAATACTGTTTGGTCCTTGGGGCTGGAGATGAGGACCTGCAACTGGTAATGGACAGTGTGGCCCTGTTCCAGAAGGCTGGTGTTGGGGTCCCAGTCCCAGAGTGGTGTGATGTGTAGCCTGTGAGGGATACGGTGGTACAGCTGGATGAGCACTTGAAGGAAAAAGTGGAGGTCCTTGATGAGGTGGATGGTGTAAGGCTTGAGCTGACGTGGTGTGATGCCCAGAAGCCAGAACACTGGAAGGCGGAGGAGGAGGGGGTGGTGGAGGGGCTGAATTTACCACATGCTGGTGTTGTGCTTGTAGACCTTGGAGTCCCGAGGAAGGGTGGGGCGGTGGATGGTGATGAGGGGCAGGACCAGGAGGTGGAGGAGGTGGT